CCGTAAATAAAATCAGAAACTCAAACGAAAAATATGTTCTTAATCTATGGACTTTTTCTCGTCCATGGTACTAGCACGAGGGAGAAAATCTGTAAAAAGCAAACATTTTTGATGTACTATAATACTAGTACGAGCGAGAATATCTGAAAAACCCAAAAACTATAGCCTTGAAAAAAATTTTGAACTCTATTTTAAATGAACGATTTCCAATATCCAATTCCGCTCCACTAAACGGCTGATAATTTTCGTAATTCAACAGATTTCCACTCAAAATTTGAGAGCGTCGGTCAGTTTATATGGCAGCTGTATGTTAAAATGGTCTGACCTAAACAATGTAATTGGATCGTTGTAGCGTTTCTTTGGACAATAATCCACAAATAAAATATATTTTTCCCGCAACAATTTGTCCTAGATCGTTCAGTTTCTATGGCAGCTATGTGCTAAAACGGTTCTATATCAGCGTTGCCGACAAATGAGTATTGAATGGGAAAAGGACGTATGTATGTGAAATTCTGGATGGATGTGAACTGAAGGATTAGTTTGCGTATAAAAAGACATATTATTCTATATTGTCACCTAAAATGCAAAATAACGTAGCATCACATTTCATAAGTTTACAGAAATTAAAAACGTATTAATAAAAACCACTCATGTTGAGAAAAAATTGAGTTTGGATTATATAACGGTTATATTTGGTTATTATACACTCATAATTGGGTTATATAATGGTTATATTTTGGTTATCGTAGACTCATATTGAAAAAAAATTGAGTTCGTATTATAAAATGTTTAAATACATATTAGTTACTATATTTGACAGCGATTTTCAATTTCTTTTCTTTTGATGATCCGTTGTTTTGCATTTTAGGTGACGATTTATAGGGTAACTGACATCCCTTCTGTGTATAATAAATTTCGTTACAAACTTTAGGGTAAAGTAAAAAAAAAATTAAGTTAATTAAATAAAAGAGCTTCTTAAGCTACAAGTATGCTACATATATTTAATGTATGATCTTTCTTCTGCACACAAAATAATGAAATAAATAATATGAAAATGATTTCTGTTAACGCTTTTTAAACGCGCCGGAGAAACGCTTGCCACTTATATAAATTCCACGTATATACATACCCTTAAGTATGTACCATTATTATCCTTTGTGACAGACAGCTTGCCTGCCAATGCACCGATTTATCTACGCGCGCGACGAAGGAAGCAAACGCCTCGAATGACGCAAAAGAACTTACGCACAACGGTGAGCATAAAATAGTAGCATTGCATTAACTATGAGACTGTCGATCCCAAATCAATGTCAACTTACATACAATTACATGCTTATACATAATATATGTCAGTGTATGTGTGAACGTGCACACATATATTAAGTCAAGTTTATTTTCCTTTTTGGCAAATGTGACAGAAAAGGGCAAATGGCAGGCAGAGTTGAATTTTTATTGACTAAGCGGCATTGAGCTGATTCTTTTTGTGCGCTTGAAAATTAACTTTCCGGCAATTTAAATGTGTTTTGATACTCGATACTTTGCGGAAATTAAAACGGAACTGATAAACGATTTTTTAAGTAAATCGGGGTTAAATATATTACTGAGACAAGAGTAGCCTACCTTGTTCTATGTTTGTTCAGCTTTTTCGATAATTAATTTTGGTTGGATCAATATAAAGCATTCCTGATTAAATAATAAATAATTATTCGTCTATTCTTGAGCCTTTCAGAACTGAGGTTGAAGCATCATGACAGTCTTACCTTCGATGGATGTTCTGACGAAACGCCTGAATACGCCCAAATAGAACTCCTCATCGATCGTATGCGCCTCCGGAACAAATTCATGATGCACCAAACCACGAATATTGAAGAAAATGAATGAGTTTCACCTTGATTTTTGAGCTGCTCTGGCGTGGTTTTTTTGATGTCGGCTCGTTTTATCCCCATACTTCGATGATTGTTGACTTGTTTGCATGCCAAACTCATAAAATCATATCTTATCGGCAGTTATAATGCGCTCCATGAATGTGGTATCGGAATTCGCATGTCCGAAGAGAAAATTTTGAAAAAATTTATCTTTATCGAGACGAGTCTTTCCGAATCGCTCGAACGGACTTGAGAGAGATGTCGAGCTCTTGCCATATTTCTAACACTTCCTTGATAATTTTCAAGCATTATAGCCTTTACTACTTTAGAGGTCATCCAATACGAGTTTTGTTACCTTCGCTGAGACAGGAGACATAGCGGAAATTGGAATCAAACAAATTTGTGTTGGGTTCAAAGCGCTTACTGTCTTTTTGAGGTGCCTAAGTGACCCAGAGCAGTCTCTATTAGGATCGACCTCATAATCTAACTTGGTTCATAGAAGTTATTTTGTAGACATTTTTGTTTATTTAGACATTCTCTCACGCCTCACCGAATTCCTGATATTTTCATTTCAATATCAGACAAGTTTAGGTTTTTGTGTGATTTCTTCATTTACCATTATTAAATAATGTTGTTATACTTATGTAAGTCGAGCACATGGTACACCCTTTCGTCTCTCGGAAGGTCAGAGCATTCTTTATGTAAGTCGAGGACATCGTAGTCTCTTTCATACTCTCGCGAGGTCAGAGCAGTCTTTTATGTAAATCGTGGACATCGTACTTTCATTCATTCTGTCGGAAGGTCAGAGCCTTTTTTTATCTAAGTCGAGGAAATCATGCTTTCTTTCAATCTCTCAGAAAGTCACAGCACACTTTTAACTAAGTCGAGGCCTCTCGGCAGGACGAACACTCTTTTATGTTAGTCTGGGCATCCTTTTCTTTCCCAGCTACTCGAACTCTGGAGTTTTTCAGTTCAAGATCAGAGAAGATCAAAGATTTTTGTTGATTTTTCTTTTAATATTATTAAATATATTTGTTATATATAAGTCGGGGACACCGTAATCTCGAATCCAGAATATTCTTGTAGATGGCGCGCTTTCTTTAATTTTTCAATGCTTTTCATGAGTTTAGGTCTCGACTTGAAACTTATACATTAATGGTTTTTATAATAGTAATATAAACTCTAATATTCTCTCTTTTAAATGAAATCGTTGAATAGTTGACAGTTGAATAAGTCTCTCTGAAATAGCACGTCAGCCACATTTTCTTAATTTCAATATTAATTTTGCCTGAACTAAGTATTTTTGTGAAATTCTCGGACAAGTTTAGGGTTTAATTAATTAGAAAAAAATTATTAAAAAAATTTTAAAAATATTGAAAACATTCTCTTATAAGAATGAATATATATATAATACAATTTTTTCTCCTTCTATCTCTTTGCAGTTAATTACGCGCATTTTATACATAACATGTTCCTCCACACATTTGGAATGCAACAATTTGATTTTTGAAAGTCAAACAAAATGGATAAACGCTCAAACGTAGCAAGAACATATTTAAGCAGTTGATAAAGAAACAAAAAACATAAATTTGCGCACTTACTAGTAATTTCCAAACTGAAAAAAAAAAACACAGAAAAATTATAAGCAAACTAAAATTCGACGAACTTAAGGATTGAGTAGGAAATTATGCTTGAAAAATAATACAAAAATCGATGAAAGCAAACAAGAATTATTCTTATTACAATAAAACTAAAAGTAATTGCTAATCTCTCTTTCTCTCCCTATATATACATATACTATATATAAACGATTCTAGCCGTTCTACGCTTGTCTCAACTATAGTAAAATATAGAAAACTTTAAAACAGCAGCGAAAGTAAAGCAAATAAACACTACAAGAAGAAAACACCAGCTTATAGCAATTAAAAATTATATAAATATATTTAGTAGTAGACAAACAAATTCAGGGAGCGCCATAAATTTGCATAGATAAAATTGCTTTAAATTAGCTACGCTGGCACTGGTATCTTCCGTACGCTTCCAACGCCGCCGTAGAAGAAGTAAATAG